CAATAAAGTAATTAAATTTTCTCTTTTTCTCAATTCCTTCTTCCCTCACTTGATTCGTTTTTAAATTAGTGTTTTATAAGTTAAACTTTATAAGTTTACAAAGTTATTTTCTTTTTTTTTAATTGATTTTTTTTTATTTTTCTCCCTTACTTTTCTCTTTTTCTCTCTTATCTTTTCTTTTTTTTTCTTTTTCTATTCTTCTTCTGCCCAATCATCAATATATAAAAGGAAGGAAAAAATGATTTGTTTTATTTTGTTAATGACAAATAATTATTTTACTCTTAATAAATTGTTTTGCTTTTATTTGATATATTTTTTATTAGCACTATCAAACTTCATTCATTCTAAAATTTGAACTAGATTTTTTTTAATATATTTTAAGATTCCCTATAAAATTTCATTTTAATCTGATAGTCGGATTGAAAATTACGTACAATAATGTAAAACTAATTAAATTGTGATTTTTTATTAAATTTCTGAATTTCTTTAAAAATTCTAAAATTTTAACCTAAACTAAAATATTATATTACAAGGCTCCATATAAAATTTTAAATTTTTTTAATAATTCAATTATAAATTATAAATTTTTATATAAAACTAATAAAAAAATCTTGATAAAATCTTGAAGAGATCTGTGCTTTCAATAAAAACAAAAACCAGCTTGTTTAGATAAATCTTAGTTTAAAAACTAGCTTGTTCAGATAAATATTAGTTTATATGCTCGTTGTACTGCTGGGGGCATAATTTTTTTCATGCAAGAAAAGGTTTGTTTGAGCAACTTGTATGGTTATTATGGATCAATTCCGTCAACCCGGATAAAAAACCAAAGTATATATTAATATAAAATATTATATTAACTTATATGTTAGTTTGTACAAAATGGTAGTTAACCTTTTTTACCAGTGAAGCTTGGGATTCCAATGTGCTGCATTGGTTTTTAAACTTGGTTTTGTGAATTGTAAAGTTCAAAAAGGTTTTACTTCAACAACCACCAGTCATTTCCTTATATAATTAATGACTCTCACCATAAATAGTTAATTGCTATCACCATAAATAGTTAATATTTGCTATAATCACCCATGGGTTTCCTATCTATTGCTATATGGACAGAGTCTTGAAAATTGCAGGGGCAAGAAAAATTAAAAGGATACATAGTTCTTATCTTGATTTGAAAATCTTAGAAAAGCAAAGAAAGAAATTAAGATAGAATACATGATATGTATGTATGTATGTATTTATATGTGTTGGGGGGTCTTGCCTAGGTTAACTAGGTTTTGCTGAGTTTTTATATTTTTTGGTTTTTTACCTAACTCAGACTGGTTCATTTTAGCTGGTTGACCTGCTAGGCTTGTTAAAGTTTAATGACTATGCCAAATTGTAAGACTTTTAAAGCCAAAGAGTGGCATGTCATATTTTTATATGTTCTAATTTTATATTAAAAAATTAATTAAAAATTTTATTTCAAATTTTTTTTTTTTTTGCTGGAAATTTTTTTACCAAATTTTTTAATTTAGGTTAGAATTTTTCTTACTTTATTTCACAAAGAAAATGAATTACTTAAATGTTTATTCCTTTATGCTGGATTTGTTATTATTTTTTAGGGAATTTTTATTTTTATGTAACTTTGACTTTTAAAGAGAATGAATGACACGTGACATATTTCTATAAGTTCTAATTTCAAAAATAAAATGAAAAAAAAAAGAATTTATTAAAAAAATCCTATTTTTTGTACAAAGTAAAAAATAAAATATTTTAATTATTTAATTTATTTATGCTGGATTTGTTATTATATTTTTAGGAATTTTTATTCATGTAATTTTTTTTTTCATTTTTTTTTTATAACTGATTTTCTATTTTGTTTTTGTTTTTTTTTTCATTTTTTATTTTTATAACTGATTTTCTATTTTGTTTTAAACATCCAAATACGATTCTTATAAAAGAGAAAAAAATCTATTTAAAAATCAAAAAAGCTTGAATACATAAAATCAAAACTTTCATAAAAAAATTAAATTGGAAAATAATTATATCTATTAAAAAAAACTTACATTTACCAGTATCTAGCGTTTTCCATTAATAAATCTATAATTCTTTTTATATTGAATATTATTATACTATATTTTTATTTACAATAACCAAATTACAATATTTACTAATTTGTTTGTGATAACAAAAAAAGATGGCAACTTCAGTTTGCAAACTAGCAAACTGAAATGGGTGACTATAAAATAATAATAATAATAATAATTTTGGATTATTAATATATATCTTTGCCAGATTTCTTGATATACTGCAATTGTTTTTTCAAATGTGGCTGCAGTCGTTGGAGCTATGGAACATAACCGAGAATAAGAGCATAATAATAATAATTTTGGATTATTAATATATATCTTTGCCAGATTTCTTGACATACTGCCATTGTTTTTTCAAATGTGGCTGCAGTCGACGTTGGAGCTATGGAAGATGGCTGAGAATAAAAGCATGACAATCCCGGGGCATGAGAACATAATCTCAGCTCTGGCGCAGTCACCTGTCACTGGGATGGCGGTTGCTTCTGCAAGCCATCATGACAGCTCTGTCAAGTCATGGAAATCAATCAATAGATATAGAGATAAATCAATATCCTTGGAAGTACACAACCGCTGGCCTTGTTGTTAAGGCATTTTTTCTGTTACATCTGATAATATCCACGGCTTACATGTATTTATATAAATGACATTATATATATATTGCCAGATACTATCATAGACACTAAAGGAAAGAAAATATCCCTTGAAGCTTGAAACTAAATCCATGTGAATGATCGATGGATGCTACACAATCTTTTGAAGAATGATATCTAGCATCAACATGGTGGTGGTGGTGGACTTGGATATCGTCGTGGTGGAGGTGGCAGAGGAGGACTTTTGTAATGAATAGGAACATTAACCCTTGGAGGTGGAGGTGATGGCTTTGTCCTTCTAGACACCCCCTTCAACTTGTAATAAGAGATTTCATTTGATGAAATCACATCAGGGGAAGACCAGGAGGGAGCTTCCCATGCAGAGGCTTTGCCTGTGTTACTGATATGAGATGATAGAAGCAGCTCATGGATCAAAATGAAAGAAAGCAAATAAGCTATGCCGCTCATTGTTGCTTGTTATTCATGGAATACTACTCGACATGCCATTTTATATGTGTGGCTGCTGGTGCGCGCATGACACCCTCCAATTAACACTAATTTAATTTCAAGGGGTACTACTTTTCAGTACTTGGCACTCTGATTTCAAGGGGTTTGGTAGAGATTTTGCTGTAAGTCAAAGACTACTAGACATGGGAATCACAATTTCGCAGCTTGTAGTTGTTTTCCTGGAAAGTGTTATATGGAAAACAGATATAGCCTTTGGGCAGTGATCCTCAGCGTAAAGCAACTGCTCAATTAAACTATAGAGATAAGATAGATAGCCATTGTGTGAGTACGACCGCTCAAAGGCTATGCATGCTTTCCATATAACACTTTCCAGGAAAACACCTGCAAGCTGCGAAATTGCGATGCCTTGCCAGCATTCTACCTAAACTTTTGAGACTCCTTAATCTTTCATCTACCTCGTGATGAAAGTCTATTAATTTGACAAAGTCAATTAACCAATTCTTGATCAATCGTATCTGAATATGTATCAAAAATTAAAAAAAAAAATATCAAAGAAATCAATTAAAACCATGGTTAGAAATCATCAGATGTCCCTTCGTTATATGCTTTTAGTCTAAGTAATTCTTCTAAATCGAATTTAATCAAGCTAACCCTTCACTGGATATTATTGAAAAAACTAATTCTAGGGATCAGGAATAAATGGGACCGTGGACGGGCACAGTAGTTTTTCTTCTTTTTTTCCCAGGTGTTGCACAAAAATCAAGCAAAAAAAAAAGAGGGAAGAGGGAAGAGAAGAGGATAAAGAAAAAAAAAGAATGTCTGAGCTAAGTCGTTTTTCCCCAAACGCACAAGCCGCCATGGGAAGGAGGGATGACAAGACAATTATGGCAACATTAAATAAGATTTTTATAGTTTTTTTTTTTTAATATTTGATAATAAAATTCTTCCATCTGCCTTGGTCGACTAACAGAAAGGAATGCCGTTGGTTGACTAAAGGAAACGGACTTGTTACACCTTCAAAGTCTTCTTCCATCATCTGCCTTGTATAAATGGCAGACAAACACAACTGGGTTTCTTCACAGCATACACACTCTCTAGCTATCCATCGCCACATAAGAATGCAGGTTCTTACTTACATATTGTTAGCAATTATGTTGTTTTTCGGAGGTTTTGGACCTGGTGCAAGAACTTGCTATGCCGTCCGATATGTCAATAAAATGGAGCATTCAAGAATGGGATTACGTGCGTTTGAGAAGAGGGATATTCCCGCAATTGAGGGATATCCAGCTCCTGCTCGCAACAGACGGCACGGTCAAGTCGCACCAACACCACCTGGAGCCATATATTAAGATCGATCTAAATCGTCTCTCCTCCATTTCCTAAGAGGGGTTCTTGTGATTACTAGTTCTCAACTAGGTTTGATTTTCTAATGTTTCGTTTCTGTATTAATTCTCAGCTGTTTAATTTCCTTGCTATCCTATCTTGAATAATTTATCATAAGCAAATGCCTCTTTCCTTTTATTACAGGTTTTAATTTCTTGTTCTTTTTAAGGTAGTAATAGTGATACTCAAACGAAAAAATAATCTATTTATGTTTTAAAGAGTGAGTGCCAACTGCCAATGAAGCAAATATACGTCCACTGATTAAAATCTAGAATTTACACATGTGATTTATTTGCACCACCAGGCCTACTGTATATAGTAAAGGTGAGTAAAAAAACTAAAAAATTGAGAAAATTAAAAAAAAAATTAAAAATCAAACTGAGTGATAGAGGTTTCAAACTTCATCACGTGAGCCCAATAAAGTCTCGCCCGAGGAGAAAGGAAATGGTAGAGGTTTTTTTTATATTTGGTCATTATATAAAGCCATGGGTGAGAGAAAGAGATAATTCTGGCAATTTCAAATCTGGACAAGTTTCTGCATCCTATGAGTTTACAAGTACAATGACATTGTTGACATCTGAGTTTTGAATGAAAGATATACGATTGCAGTGAACCATGAAATAAACACCACCTCTAAAAGCAGGCCCCAAAACAGTGTGGAGACACAGAAGAACAGGAGAAGACAAGGAGAGCTCGCGAACTAAATCACCATGCAGCCATATGAGAACGCGAAGTAGCCACTATCCACCGAGCCTGAGACTTCCAACTGTATATGAAATCTCACAATACAGCACGTCTTTTTCTGTCTGCCACTTGTATAGGAGGTTGGACATACAGAGCTCATTCCGAGCAGAAATCAAGATTGTTCCAGCCTTCTTACAGCTGCTGCAAAAATCTAGAAAGGCAAGAGATCAGACTCGTCACAAAACGGCAATTTTATCGCAATTCTAGTGATCAACAGTCTAGCCTACTTACAATAAGCGCTACGTCGAAGAACATATCAAAAATGGAGAATCCTTTCAAACAAATTAGAATATCCTGTCATGCTGATATGAAATGGGAGATGAAGATGTGCATCCGGTGCTTATTTATGGCAGTAACGCACAACCAAACATAGGATCTCAGCCAGAATTGAACTTGTATTTGGATCGAAGACATCAGATACTGAAATCAGACTTGAAACTGCCAGGATTTTCTTACTATATTAAATTGCAATAATAGCATGAACTTGCCAAGGCATATCCCTCTCATACATGATTGAATCTGGAAAATTACTAAAGCAGGCAACAACAGAACAGAATTAAAAAAAGATCACCACTGATAAGACAACAAAAACCCTTCGTTGAAGCTCAGGGATCTATTTCAAATCTTCACAGGTTTGATTGCGACTACTGCTGTCATAGTACTGAATGGGATTGTGTTGCTCTGTGTGGCTCGGAACTAAGGATTCCTCATCAGAACGTCCACATGAGTAGCTCTGTGGCATTTTATCTTCTTCCAATGATTTGCTGTCAGGTTGACCATGCTTGTGGAGTTGGAATAGCAATTTTTCATGGTAATAGTTAGAAGGTTTTAATCTTTCTTGTTGAAATGTGTAGCTGCTGCTCGTGCACCAGCAATTGCTGCACTGAGACTCTCTGACTTCTCCACTCCGGATGCTTCATTTTCAGAGAACTCTTCAGAAATAGAGCCTGGTTTTAAGGAAAAGGGATCTTGAGGATCTGGAAGGGGAAATTTTACTGGCATTGGACCTTCAACACTGACAAGACCTCTAACAGCAGCCTCGTATATCTGTGAAACACGGATATGTTAACATATTAAAGCAGAGGTCAATGCATTAACTTTAATGTAATACATATACCTTCTTTTCCAAGTTATAAACACGTTGATAGCCTCGCATCTCAAAAGGAACTAGCAATTTCTGCATCCATTGAGGGAAAATGATCGGCACATTAAGCACGCTTTCAAATAAACATTCACAGAATCATACCTTTGGCTGTTCACAAAGCCAGCAAAAATCTGTTTGTCCTTCTAGTCTCACCTGTAGCAGTAAAACTCATCTAGATTAGTCGGCACAATCAACAGAATCATTGATGATTATGTTCAGGGACAAAAGGTCAAAAATGGTTGCCTACCCCTTCAGGTACTGCCTCCCAGCTTGCTAGCTCATCACATCTAACACAGCCAACCACATCAACACACCCTATAATATAAGAAGACATCCTATTTTGTCAAAATTTTGAACTCAAGAAACAACATAGGAAGCAACAGTCGAACATGCTCACTGGTTCTCACATTTCAAAATCTAAAACTACAGAAACTAAGCTAAGGCCTCAAACTCCAGCTCAGGATAAACATCAGTCATGTTTATTTGTGGAGAACTCTACAGTTTCAGGGGAAAAGAAATGTACAAAGCAGGACTAGAAAACTACTATAGATTGTTTTCCGAATTCTCCTGTCCATTTTGGAAAACCAGGCCCTGCTTGGTTCCTTGTTGTTCTGTCTCTATGTCATTCATTACTTTAAAGATAACCCAATTGAAGGCTTGAAGCCCTTGCATTCTATTTTAGAAATATTAGTTAGTAAACACAGTTCTCTTTAATATTTTATGGAGAAATGATTTTAGAATGGAAAAAAAAATGAAATTTAGCACAAAACTACAGTATGTCGATATTGAGTAAAGACAGATGATTGATATAAGACAGCAGACTACAATAATATCTGCCCCAGATGGTAATTTGTAAAGATGTTTTGCTTATATGATTTGACAATTAGTTACCCTATGTGTACCAAGGCTGCTTGTGTTGATCATTCACCAGTGCAAGAGCATTTTCAACAAATCCATGAGGGTGCTGATTATTCCAAGTGTTATGGGTGCATATGGTGTCATGCACAAACATTATTCATAGTAAACCTGGATCAAGTTCTACTTAGGGCCACAAATCCAGCAAGGTGGAAATTAATTCAGTGTGAAGCATTTTCAACACTAAAGGCTGGCCAGGATCGCTAGCCATGTGTAGAAATGCCCATGCTAGATACCAATACCCCTGTTGGTGAAAATGGTCACACAGGTTCCTCACTCAAGCATGAGATGGGGACACAAAATGTATGCCTACTGCATGATATTAAGCAGCAGTTGACTAACTTACTACTTCCTTTCTCATTAAAAAGTATAGAGAACCAACAATTCTGAAAACAAACAATGACTCGATGAGGTGTCAATAAATCCAAAACTAATCATTTCATGAATCTACAGAGCTCGTTAAGAGGGAAAGAAAGCATCGAACTAGATGCTAAGATTTTGAGAAGTAAATAGAAATATATGACATCAAAAGCACCGATGCCCAGATACCTAAAAGTCTTGAAACAGGATAATGTTCTGGAAACTTTATGTCAGTGATGCCATTCGCTGCATAAATTTCTCTATAGAAATCTTCCATTGCTTTGATTGTATCCTCCTCCGGAACTTTACTTGCAGCATGAATCCAAAGGCAACCTTCAAAACACAAGTTTTAAAACGCTTAATAACATCTTCAACAAGAAGGGAAAAAATCATAATGCTGAAATAGATGGAGTGCCTGCTGGACTTCCTCCTAAAACATGTCATATAACTGTGGTTGATGCGTCCATAGTTAAGCCCAAGGCAATTCCTGGATTTCAACTTTAAATTTGTTTATGATTGTATACTATGACATGTGATACAAATACGTTTCAATTCCAAGAAATCATTCCTTTCCAGCATTGTATTACATGATTGTATATTAATATCATAGAACCAAATTATCAAACAGTGCCTCGACTGTCCTCTAATTAAACAGTGCAAACTAATTCATTTCCATGACAAAATAAAAATACAAAAAGGAATCTTAAAGCATTCCTTAACAAAACAATTGATGGGGAGAATGACAAGATCTGCGCTAAAGGCAACTACAGCAATGAGAAGGCATCTTGTCGGAGATTGATTTCACTTTTCTCGTCGATAACTCTTCTATAGCCCCACATTGACAAACTTGACCAAACTTCTGAGCTATGTAATAGGACAAATGCATAAGTAGATTATGCTACTCAAGCAAATGAAACATGATATTTTCCTCGATGATGTTCAAAAACTACTATTCTGTTGTGGAAGTGCATCGGTGTGGACCCAGGTCACATTCAACTCATGCTGAGAACCACAACCCAATACTATTTCATTTCGTGATAAACTAAGATATATTTTTCCATGTTGTCTTCTTTCTTTCTTTTTTGTATTCTTGTACATCTTGGAGTTTTCTCTTTTGTAAGATGAAAGCTCGATACAAGAAGATATTGCTTCGTTTTCCTTTTGTAATTGAAGCATCATTCCGAAAATTGAACCAAAGATGTAGCCCACATCCAACACCATTGAGGCATTCAATTTCCCTTGAACACTAAAAACCTTTCTTTTCAAGTTTGCCATTTGAAATGAAAATCAACCATTCTAGGGTCCATTTTTGACAAAAAGAAACCACAGCCCAAATAAAAACAAAACAATGCTTTCAAAGTTGATATCTTATCAATATTCAGTGACATTCAAACCCTTAAGCAAAAAAATAAAAAATAAATACAACTCCAAACCTTAAGCACAACCTTCTAATAACCAAAAAAAATCCCAAGTCCTTCCCTTCTTCTTCCCTACTCTCCTCATCAAACAAATAACACCAAACTCCAAAGAAACAAACTATCCATTTTTTAAAACACGAAACTTGAACTGGGTACCAATATTTACACTACGAAAGCTCATAACTTTCCTATCAATAACCACACTAACAATAAAAATACCGAATGGGTTTTCATAATTTGCACCAAATATAAATTCTATGAGTATAATATTTTTTTTTTTTGTTACCTCTAATAGGAGCAGTCCAGGACCTGCCTTCAATGCGTTTGATACCATAGACCAACAATGACGCCCATGGTTGGTGCAGGGTCAAGCACGGATTCGAGTAGTTCCCAGAGCCCCTTCGTCCTCCACCACCTCTTCGCATCTCTAATGTGCTCTTTTCACCAACTGGGTCGCTTTGGTGTGTTTTTTTTTTCCGGGAAAGGGCAGAATCTGAAAGAAAATTTGTAGGTCTTCCAAACGAAACACGTGTTGATGTAATGGACTTTCTGTCACGTGACAATGACACGTGCATGACTCTTTTTTCTTAAGACTTTAGAAAAGTGAAGAGTAGAGAAAAAACAAAGCAACCAGAAAAAAAAATATATATATATATATTCAGTTTTATTTGGTTTTAATTTAAAACATTGAAAATCAAGTAAATTTAACTAAACTAGACTTAAAAGAAACTTAAAAAATTTAGAGGTGTTTATAAATATAGTAGTAATTATTTTTTAAAGTATTTTTATTTTAAAATAAGTTAAAAAAATATTTTTGACTTGAAAAATTATTTTTAATATTAATTTATTAAAATATAAAAAAATTATTTAAAAAAAAATATTGAAACTCCAATTAACCGCAATCATAAAATCCCAAAACCCTAACCATTATTTTAAAAAATAATTGAATCTCCAATTAAGCGCAATCATAAAATCCCAAAACCCTAACCTAACTTGACAATAGTTACAAAACCAGCTCTCTCTCTCTCTCTCTCTCTAGCCAAGCTCCCACACACAGAGAGTCAGAGACCAACTTTCCTCGATTCCTTCCCTCTGTCGCCCATCACCGAATTAAGAGTGAAAATCACAACCCAACAAGTCATAGAACACCACCATTTCTTCCCTCTCTCTTGCAATGTCGCCCATCAATTCACTACCATTGCCAAACTCTCTCTCGACATCAGAGTAATCAACATTGTCGTCGCCACCTCAAAATATCCTTGGTAGCTCTCAGCAACCCTCTTTTGTCCTCTCTGTTATTGAATTTGAAAAGCAAGGGTTTTTTATTAAAAACAAATATTATGATTTGAAAAGTAATTTTTAATTAAAAATATATGCATAGATAGTTTTTATGTGAATATTTGTGAAAATAAATGAAATTTTTATTTTAAAAATTTTATAAAAAATTCACAATAAAAAAATATCATAGATTTTATTTTTATTGAATATTGGTGAGGAAAATTTTAAAACTTATGCTTAGTATATTCAAATATGATTATTATAAAGTAATTGTTGACATTAAAAATATATACATATATATATATATATATAATCTAATTTAAAAAATAGCATGATATCGTTGCAGTTGTTTTATTTAAAACAGATTTTATTTTAGGATATTAAAGAATTAAAAACATAAATAACTAAGGAAGGATAAGAGAGGCTAGTCCATTTTTTTTATTGTTTTATTAATGATTTTTTTATTTTTCTAGAATTATTTTTTATATTAGCATATTAAAATAATTTAAAAACATTAAAAATATATTTATTTAAAGTTAATAAAAAAAATTTAAAAATAATTTTGAAACACAAATGATATATTTTTTTTAATATTTTTTATTAGGAAATTAAAACATGAATTTTCAAACCTTTAAAATTTAAATTTTAGTTTATTTTTATCTAAAAAGCTATAAAATATCTTAAAAATTTCATTTTCAATCCTACAACTTTAAAAATTCAAAATCAAAATAAACTTTTTGAATTGTTATGTACTTTCTTTGGCATTATTAAAAGAACCAAATCGTCTCCATCGACATTTATCATGGTTGAAATGTTGCTGATTGAAAGCCTTTTCTCTCGTCCTCTCTTTTAGACAACTTTCTCTTCATTCATAACGTCTGTGTGTGTATAAAAACAAATATGGTCACCTCAAATATGACTCACTCCACTTGCAGGGGTAGGGGTTTTCTAGCACCCTTCAAATCATATCCAGAGAGATATAACTTGTCAAAGGTTCTTACTAATCCCAGGTTGATGTACACGTAACAAATAAAAATATATTTTTTATTATTTTTATTGAAGTTTCAACACTCAATTGACAGGAACCTTTAAATATCGTACCACCAAAAAGGTTGATTCTTGAATAAAATAATACTTTTTATATATGAAAATAATTGTATCCTTTTTATATGAAAAAAATGTTCAAAATCATTATTTGAGTATAAACTCCATAAAGAGCAAAAAAAATCACATCCACGCACAAAAATCATCTCATCCTTTCAACCCTGATGCGGGGTATTAATTCCATTTTATCACTCCCCAGAATTAATAGATATATGATCATAGCTTTGTATGCCTGATGTTTTCACACAAAAACCATTTGAATAATATTCACAATATCCACACAAAATCAATAATATCATGTTTGTTATGGATTATACTAAGGAAATAAATATTTGTTTTGGATGTGAGAACGAGCAACTAGAGTTGTCGGGATAGATTAAAGCATTTCATTCCCCTTCTTTATTTTTTTTATTTTTCTCAGTTTTTTTGTTTTAAAAATATGTTTGGAAACAAAGACAAAATTAATTGTAACATTGTAGGGCAGAGGTATTCTTGTTTTTTTCAGAACACAATAAGATTGTGTATATAATTAAAGTGAAAAAAAAATATGCCATTGAAATAGAGATATCAATGTTCTTTTCTCTTTGATCTTTTTTATATAATTATTAGTTTGGTTGAGAGTTATAATGTAATTTATTATTTAATTTATGATTTTTAAATTTAAATAATTGTTAGAGTATATCTAGCACGTATCAATGCATGAAAAATATCATGCATTTTAGATAGTATATATAGCATTTCCTATCTCCTGAGTGGTGTAAAATGAGCTTTTACCATCTCATTTGATTCCCCTCCATATCCTCTTTCTTTATTGGTAGCTAATGGCATCTAAAGATGGCTGGTTTGTTATCTTTTATACCCTATAAAATCAACTTTGATCTTTATTATTGTTAGTGTTTCATATTCAATCTTTTTAGTTTTGATTTTTTGATTTTTTTTCTTTTGTTGAAGTTTTATTTATTTTTAATTCAATCCTTCAATTTTAATTTGTAAATATAAGTTTTTCAATTCAATCCTTCTACTTTTGATTCTTTATTTATTTTCCTTTGCTCTTTTGTCAAAATATTTATGGGTTTTAATTTTATCCCTCATATCATAATTAGAATAATAAATTTGATTTCTTATTTTATTCTTTATTCTTTTATCAAAGTTTTTTATGGTCTTTAATTTTATTATTCAAATCAAGTTTATGTTTTTTATTATAATAACAACAATAATAAATTATTCTGAATTTGAATTTTAGAATAATAAATTGTAAGAAATTATAAGTTACATCTTTTACTAAATTCTTAATGAATATAAATTTGAATTCTATTCAAGTAAAATGGAATAAAAAATTAAATATATAAAAATATTATATAAATTAAATGTATTGTATAAATCTAAATGTATTGGATGTATCCTTCTAGTTAAATAAAATAGGTAATTAGATATAATAGTAATATATCATATGGGTAATAAAAATATAATAAAAATGATCTGAAAAGAAAATAGCATGATTATTCACCAATAGAATCTAGATTGTGCATGTCAATATCAAGAAACAAAATGCAAATATAATTGAATGGTAAAAAAAATTTTGCCAAAAAAAATACAATAACGACGATGATTATGATTATAATAATAATAGCTTTCAAACCAAGTTTATATATTTTATAATAATAAAAATAAAATAATAATAATATTGCTAATAATATCATCAATAGTAATAATAATAATAATAGTAACAATAATAATAATTATAACAATGATAACAATAATAATAATAGCGGTGGTAATAATAATATTGATTGCAGTGGTTATAACAGTAATAATAATAACTAAATAATAATAACAGTGATATTAAAAATAATAATATAAAAATAAAAATAAAAAGAAATAACTAAAAAGAAAGGTTCATGACGGTAAAAGCTTGATTGGCATTTGCCAAAATTAGTAAAATTAATTTTGTGTTCTGTCTTTTTGTCCGAGATTGGAAGCCAACCAGTGAACTTTTCATCGTTAGCCTAGGCATGCAGATGATTGGACCTTTCCCATTAACATTAATATATAATATTAAGTTAACATTATTTGAAATCCCAAATATTAATCCCAGTTGAGCTAACAAAATAACGTCATAGTTGTATTTTTTTACAACACATGGAAAGAGAAGTAAACTCTTGAACTCTCATGTCTGCATCGCCCCATTATTTTATTTAAAATATTTTAATCATTTTTATGTTAAAATAGAAGGTTAATATTCTTTATAATAATTATCATTATATAATAAAAACTTGTACAAATTATATGGCGTGATAGGCACTACTCGAATTTTCAACCTCTTGTACGAGCAGTGCATGGAAAGTTCATCTTAGCTGCTCTATTGGTAATATCTTAGTATCATGACCTTGAAAGGAGGATAGCGTGTTTTTATGTGCAGTTGAATTGTATTTTAAAAAAATTAAATTTTTTAGTTTAAAATTATTTTTAAAATATTTTTAATTATTTTGATGTATTGATATAAAAAAATATTTTAAATTATTTTCAAATAAAGGACACTTTAAAAAATATTCTATATCACAATCTCTAACACTGTTATAAAGATGAAATTACAAGCATATTTGTAACTTTGTAGACTTGCATCATTGTAAATGTGCTAGAAAAAAGCAGAAATTGAAGGATGCTGGGCCAAAAAATGAAATTTTACTCTCAAAATAGCACATGAGCAAGCTCCATTGCATTATAACCTTAGCTGAGAATATTATAACCTTAGCAGTTATGAATGGATGGGAAATTGAAAGGTGAATTTGACTCATTATAGAGCAATTCGATTTGATTATTTGTCTCCAAGATCCATTTGATTTCGTTAGGTTAACGAGGATGATGAAATCACATGTTGAGGAATGGTGCAAATCTTTTTTCTTCTTTTTTTTCCCCTTCTTCAAAGCATAATTGGTTCAAACTCACCAAATCTTCCACCATTCAATCTTCGATTCAGTCATTTCACCTAATGCTATGGAGAGACTGATTCCATGCAAATGAAGATGGCAATTTCTGATTACCAATTGTTATTTTCAAAGAGCTAGCTAGTAGGTATATCTATCTTCAATTAACTTTATTAATAAATACATCGAAAGCTTAAGATTGTGTTTGCTTTGGTCTTCAAAAAATATTTTAAAATTATTTTTTAAATAAATATTTTTATAATTTTGAATCGTTGATGTGAAAAATAAATTTAAAATAATAAAAATATATTATTTTAATATATTTTTAAATAAAAAATATTTTAAAAAATAATCATGCCTATAAAAATAATTGAAATATTGATTAGCAATGGTTATTTTCAAAGAGCTAGCCAGTAGGTATATCTATCTTTGATTGACTTTATTAATAAATATATCAAAAGGTTAACATCGTATTTGTTTTGGTTTTTAAAAAATTATTTTAAAATTATTTTAAATTATTTTTGAAAATATTTTTTTAATAATTTTAAATTATTTTAATACACTAATATAAAAAATATATTATTTTAATATATTTTTAAATAAAAAATAATTTAAAAAATAAAAAATACAATTCAAATACCTAAACTTTGACAACAAAGATGCAACGGAGAAAAAACATAAATAAATAAACTAGAAAGCTGTTAAAACATAGGATAGAACGACCTCAAACTACAAGTTGCCAGGCAGTCATTTTCAAAGGTTTTCTCCGACCAAAGACCAAAACCTGGACACACATCCGTGTTTGTCTGAGTGCTTAGATTTCCGATACCAAAAACTTGGAGTGCTATGTGACACTAGCTTTATGGGCCCATCACTAACTCTAAGTGGCCCCACAATTGAAAGTTTGGTAGTTTTATTAGTTATTTTTAAAATATTTTTTATTTAAAAATATATTTATATTTTTAAAAACTTATTTTTAATATTAATATATTAAAACGACCTAAAAATATCAGATCAAATGGTTTTACGACCCACTAGCTGTATGGGCCCATCAGTAACTTTAAGTGGCCCCATTTTATTTACCATGAGCTCGCTTTGCAAGTTTGATTGTGTTTTGTTTTGATATATTAGTTATTTTTTAAAATAATTTTTATTTTAAAATATATTAAAATAATATATGTTTTTAAATTTTTATTTTTAATATTAGTATATTAAAAATATTAAAAATATTTAACTTTTTAAAAATGTTCCCAGCAGTAATAACAAGCCATCCCTACATCAACTTTTGTTTTTAAATACTTTTTAAAAATATATTTAGTTTTAATTTTTTTTTAATGATTTTGATGTTATATCATTAAAATAATTTTAAAACATTAAATAATTAAAATAAAAAATTATTTTTTAATAAATATACCCGCAATAACAACAGCCCTACATCAGCTTTTGTTTTAAATCTTTTTTTAAAAATAGATTTATATTGAAAAAATATTAATTTTTTTTTTATTTTGATGTTATAATATTAAAATAATTTAAAAATATTAAATAAATAAAATTAAAAATTATTTTTTAAATAAATATACCTGTAATAACAAACGGCCCTACATCAGCTTTTGTTTTTAAATGTTTTTTAATAGATTTACACTGAAAAAAATAAATTAATAATTTTTTTATGATTTTAATATTATCATATTGAAAATATTTTTAAATTACCTTGCAATCCAATATGTAGCTTTTGAGAAAAGCATCAAGTTAATGAGACGTTAGAAAAAAAAAAAAGAACAATAATAATCCTCCTGCCCAACGCATGTCAATTCCTTAAACCATCCACGTGTTAGGCATTTATTATTTAAAAAAATGACTGAAAATCCAAATCAATTATCTATAATACATTAATTTCCTTGTAAATAGAAGATTATGATAAAAAAAAAGATTTTCATTAATTAAAAAATAAAAATGTGATTAATGCCACCCACGCATAATAGTCTAAGAGACTGCCATGTGTTGGGTGGGGGAATTTCTGTTGTCCTAGACAACATGAAGTTAATATATATGTATATATTTCTGGCAATAAACATGTTTTCTAATCAGTTTGCATATCAACAGAGCAATAAACATATTTTCTAATCAGTTTGCATATCAACAGAGATTAAATCGTGAGTCACTTAACAATCTCCCACATCAACTTAACTCATTCGTATAAATTTAATAATTTTTTCAAGAATTGTTTCCAAAATCCAAATCTAGAAAATCAAGAAAAGAAACGAACACTCATCACCGGCCAATTTCTTGTTTTTTTCCCCCCGTAGATGGGATGACTATTTTGCATGCTTGCTGTATATCTAAGGTAAATGCTTACAAAAGTATTGATGCTATCAAAAAAGAAAAAAACATAATCAAAGAACAATTTCTTATTTTTTTGGCTGAGATTTTTCTAACTTTATTCTTTCTTATCTAGAGATCGTGTGAAAGGAATGGCAAATTTTCCACTCTTTGCAAATGAAAAGGAAGAACAACTCTTTGCAATCTCAATATAAGAAATTTTCCACTCAGGAAATTTAGCAAATGCTCACAACATACACTGCCCACTCTCTTTTACCCTCTCCCAGTCTAGGTCAGCTCAGTTGCTCTCTCTCTCTCTACAAAAGAATTTTCAACCTTTCCTCCTTTGAAACAAACCCAGCCCCCAGCCCCTAAAGAAATCCACAAATTCTGCCCCAACCTATACAAAACGACAGCCTTCTGCGCCATTTCTATTCACCTCCAAAAAGACCATCATGCTATCATTCCTTCACTCTCTTTCCCCTCCATCTCCTCTTCATGCCCCTTCACTCTCTCCATCCCTCAAGAATCATACCCGTTGACTTCTTACCGTTAAAGTCTTGAAATTTACAGGAATTTAAGAAAAGAGTACTACTTTTTTGAGAGAAAAATGGAGCAAGCAGTTCTTGATGATATAATCAAGAGGTTATTAGAGGTCAGAGGCAAACCCGGGAAGCAGGTTCAGTTATCAGAGTCTGAGATCCGACAACTTTGTGTGGTCTCTAGAGAGATTTTCTTGCAACAGCCTAATTTGCTGGAGCTTGAAGCATCCATCAAGATTTGTGGTATTTTTCTCTCTTTAAATTTACTTTCTTTTTGTGTTTTTGAGCATATCAAGAAGGTCCCATGTTTTTATTTTGGCATCCCGTCTGAGTTTTTGTCATTTCTATACTCACTTTACCAGGTTTATTTATTTATTTTCTAAGGTTTGGAGGGTTTTTTCCTTTAATTTTTGAATTCGCGATTGTTTTCTGAAGTAAAGATTGTGTCTTTGATGACCCTAGTAAGACGTGGATTGTCTTTGATGAACTCCATTTTGTTGATTTTGTAGGATTCTTTTGTGTACTGGGTGTGATTTTATAGCTTATTTTGGACTTGTGTTTTTGTTTAAATGAAAGGTTCAAAATTTACAAGAATTATGGTAACCCCATTTGGTGTTTACTAGTTTGTGGTTTTGGATCGGCTGGAGTGCTTCATTTAAGTGCCTTTTGGTGATTCTTGGTTATCTTTTGATGAATCCTTGGAGAGTTGGTTTGGATTTGTGTTACCTGAAATTGAAGGTTGCCACTTATATGTGATTTAGTAGGGGTTTATTGTATCACAACTGAGAAAAATCCTAACTTACTTCTGCCCTGACGAAGTTGGCTTTACTCGATATGCCATGTCTGGCTACTTTATCTTTTCATGCTTGTATAATTTTTGGAGAAAATTTTCCCAATTGCACTTGGTACTTGGGAGTAGCTTGTGAACTGGGAGCTTTATGATTGTTTAGTTTGTGAGTTAATTTTGTCCACTCAAGTTTGTGGCTTGCAACCCATCATTGCTTCTTCTTTTCTATTTTTTGTGCTTTAAGTGAGCCTAGCTTGGGGCTTTGTTGGATTACTTCTTTTTTGGTGTGTTTGTTTTGTTTGATTTTTATTGATAGATGGATCTTACTGGCTTGTGCATGCCTTGGATGCATTTAAAATGCTTATTGACATACTTTGGCAAGATTGTGAACTGAAGTTTACATTTCATAAACTTATCAAGATTAGGGAGTTCTCAATAGGTCTAGATACTAATCCAGTTGAATCAAGAACTACAGCCAAAATGCGTATTATAGCTGATAAAGGTTCAGTAGCCTTGTACGAAAGAAAGAAAAAGTTACTTCAAGAATCTGAACTCATAAATGCTGGCTTGCATTATGATTCTTTTTCAGTGAAATGCAAATTCTTGTCACAATAACAAAATTTTGGGGCCTTCTAATTATTATCCCCATAACTAAGTTATGCATCACGTTTTCTATATATTTGTAGATGGCAAAATCACATTTTGGCATGCAGGAACGATTATGAAAAATGTGCTGCAGACATTGCAATGTCTGATTGGTTGGGTGCACTAAGTTCTCTCTTCATTGATTGGTGGAACAATTGCGTGCCTGTTTTCTCTTGTTGTGAAGTGTTTGAAGATCCTTTATGAGGATATTCATTTGCCCAAAATACGTTGGTTGATCTAATGAATTTTATTTGAAATGCTAATTCATGCTTTCTTTTGTTATTTTTTATTTGGTGCTAATGTGTATGCTTGTATGAATTTATCTCCTGTTCTGTTAAGGGTTCACATATCCCTTTTAGTTTTTTCTTTTTTTTTTTTTTTTTTTGGGGGGGGGGGGTGGACCGATTGTTATGGAGTTGTTTTGCCTTTTGCCTTGTCTAGTTGTCTTCCATGACCTTGGGCTTCATTTGGTGCATGTTGGTATTCCTATTAGTAATGTATGGCAGGACCAGAGTTATTTAACTAGTTCCCTCCCCTGGGATTGCTATCCTGATCTTGAAAACCGGGGATCTTTTTTTTTTTTAATAGTTTACAGTGGATTTACACGTGTTAGAGTTTAAATATAAAAGTAATACTTAAATAAGAAACGATATATTCTGATTTGCAGAAATCTATTCTCGATGGAAATCTAAAATATTACGTATTTAGGTTGGTCTTTTCAATTTCTTCCCCTAGAGAAAAATTATACACAGCTGACCCTGGAGAAGATCGAAGGGTATTTTTTTTCTTTTTTTGGGGGGGTGGGGGGGGGGTCTACATGCACCCATAAAAAATGAACCACGACTTGAAATGACGACCCTACTAAGCCTGCTCCCTTTGTACCATGTTTTGGGGGTAGCAAATTGTGTACTATTCTCTAGGTAACATGGGGCAGAACTCGCTCAAGATTTTGATTGCAGACTAGCTATTACATAGTACTTGGCAGTTTTGCTCTAAAACACCTGCATCATTGCTAGTTTGGCTATTTAATGCTAATGAGTATTTCCTGTCCTATTCTTTTGGTATTTTTATTTTATGACTGATTGAATACCTGTGAGGTTTATAGTTTCTTAGATGTCAAAGAAAGTTTGCTGTCTGCTTTTCAATTTTAGATGCAGAAGTCTAATAATAATCAATGTAAATGGCTTAATACTATCAAAACGTGAATCATATACTTTTTATTACCAATACCTATCACTTTCCCGGGTTTTATTTAATTAATATGGTAATGTTTTTTCTTCATCAAATTTTTAATAGATTGTAGATTGTTTAGAATTATTTATCAATGGTTATGGTAATTGTTTTCTTCATCAAATTAAAATTGTTTAGAATTATTTATCAATGGTCAAATTTGAATGTTTATTAAATAAACATGTTTGAATAACCTTATATGATTTTGTTGATTATAATTAATTTAATTTGTTTAATTTTTGAGTCATAAAATATAATTTATAATTGTAATTAAATAAAAATTAATTATACAATTGAATTATCTTGCAAAAAATAATAATTAATAGGTAGGATAAATATATATAACTCTTAAAATGATAATCACTAAAAGATTTTCACTTAACATTATATTATTACGGACCTTTTTTTAGTTTTGAAAAGTTCTTTTGAATTAATTATATGTGACATGATTATAAATTAAAAATATATAAATGAATACAAATTTTGTAAATTATATTTTCAATAAATCTTGCATTTTTTTTAATGTTACTAGCATTTGTTTAAAAGAGTAAAAATAATCGTAAGACAATAACAAATAATAACTATAAAATATTAACTTAGGATTCAATTTAATATTTTGGTGTAATTTAATCATTTTCTGATTCTAATACTTCATGTTTTTTATTGGCTTATTTTTAAGCTTTTTAGAGTTTTGGTAGTCAAAGTAAAGTGCTAATATAGTCTTATATAGTGTATGAGTAATTTGAGTTGCTTATTTTATGTTTTTTTTTAATGTTTTTATATAATTCATGAATAAAAATATAATTTAAAAAGGGATTAATCTGTATTTTTGGATTCATCCTAAAAAATAGTCTATTTTTTAGGAAATAATAATTTTCTTTCTAAGAATTTTACCACTAATCATCTTTTTCTTAATTAGAGATGAGGTTGAAATTACTTGTAAATATTGGTGTGTATGTGTGTGTATTATATTGTTAATATTGTATTAAGGATATGATAGTCAATCAAAGGGTTTTATGGAGTTTGTGTTTTAATAAATAGTTATGGATTTTTGTTATTTGACCTCAAAAATCTGTAAAATATTCACATAATTTCCTAATTATTTTTGTAGCATGGTATTTTACTCTACGTGGTTGTTAGTTTCCATTCGAGAGAATTTTGAATGATGCCTTATATTGATCCCTTCGATCAAGTAATTTTTTCAATTACTTGAGTTTTCAATGTATTAAACCGACCATCACAACCTCCCTCTTGATGAGCATGTTCCATGTTTAGCGATGTTTGCTGAGTAAATGAGCCCTTATTCTCTGTTATGTAATATATTTAACCATACATTCTAGTTTCTTTGTTGAAGTGTCTTCTGAAAGACATTTTTCATGTAGAGAAAAAGCTGCATGGCATTTCCGATTCATAAACTGTGAATTTGCAGCAATCTACTTGAAAATGCTGTGCATGTGATTTCTGTAATACCTTAATTATTTCTTTTTGGCCATCCGGGCCTTGGCTTTACCATGGAGCAGCTCTTCATCTCCTGAAGTTTCATTTACCCATCCCAAAATTGAACTAACAGGCCTTGGTCTTTGTCGCTCTCCGTTACTTTGACATGAAACTTCTTGGTTGTAACTCCTAATTATTGCCATTTCTTTTTGGGGACAGCTATTAATCTAATTGGCTAGAGCTGGGTTTAAAACCATTTTGGACTTTGAGTTGGCGTTTTACTTATCTATGGATGGTATTGCATTTGGTGCAAGGCTAAAAGTTGAAGGAAAAATTTTGTGAAGTAATTGTTGAGAGTGGAAAGATTAGTTTTTTAAGATGTTTGGTGTGTTAATAAATTGAAGGGTAAATTGTTAGTGGAAAGAGGGGATAATTTGGTGCCTTTTGAGACAAAAAGAAAGAGAGAGAATGAAAAGAAAAAAAATATTCCTTAAGAGATTAAATTTTACTTTCCGAAAACACAAATTTGTGGGTTAATGTCTCTCCACTTAATAATTCACCTCTTTCCCAATGGTAACTTTAACCTCATTACGCTTGTACCACACATATCCTTAAGAACATTCTACTATGGTTAACTTTAACTTCATTATGCTTGTACCACACATATCCTTAAGAACATTCTACTATGGTTTATGTGCTTGATGAATGATTAAATCTCCCATTTATTTTTTCTGGACGATGATGCATTGGTGTTGGATTTTTGCATATTGTACTCTTGTGTGTTTTCCAAGTCATTGATTTGAAATATTTTATATGCTTGTATGAGACAATGGACTTGATGAGTCAGCTGGTTGGCTGAGAACAATCAGGATAATTAATATTTAACGGAGGAAAGAATTATCATCTTAATGTGTCACTGAATTTCTCCCCTTGTTAAGGAATTTTCAATTGTTGATGACCTCTGCTTGTGACATGCAGGTGATATCCATGGTCAATATTCTGATCTTCTAAGGCTATTTGAATATGGTGGTTTCCCTCCAGAAGCAAACTACCTATTTTTGGGGGACTATGTGGATCGAGGCAAGCAAAGCCTGGAGACAATATGTCTTCTCCTTGCTTATAAGATAAAATATCCAGAAAACTTTTTCCTCTTGAGGGGAAACCATGAATGTGCTTCAATAAACCGCATATATGGTTTTTATGATGAGTGTAAGAGAAGGTTTAATGTTAGGCTATGGAAGACGTTCACAGATTGTTTTAATTGCCTACCAGTGGCTGCGCTAATTGATGAGAAGATTCTCTGCATGCATGGGGGTTTGTCTCCAGAACTAAATCATTTGGATCAGATTCAAAACTTACAGCGCCCGACTGATGTCCCGGACACGGGCTTGCTTTGTGATCTTCTCTGGTCAGATCCGAGTAAAGATGTTCAAGGTTGGGGGGTGAATGACAGGGGAGTTTCATATACATTTGGTCCTGACAAGGTGACAGAGTTTCTTCTGAAGCAGGATTTGGATCTTATTTGCCGTGCCCACCAGGTTTGACCTGTTACAGCATTTCACTTTCTCTTAGGCAGGCTTCTAGTTGAATTCATATCCTTTACACTATTACTTGTGGGGCTGTTACAAATAAACAATCTAGAGCCATCCTTTGTTGAATTGTTCACTTACTTTTGGAGTGGCTTTTGAGCCAATTGGCCACTGCGGTATTGACCCAAGAAAATATTCTCCAAAACTTTCCAGATAAATTTTTAACTCCACTGTGGATTGGTCTGGTTGTCCATTCTATGCAAACTTTGAGTTATTACTGAAATTTGCTCTTTCCAAATGTGTGTTGCAGGTCGTGGAGGATGGATATGAGTTCTTTGCCAACCGACAACTTGTAACTATATTTTCAGCGCCTAATTACTGTGGGGAGTTTGATAATGCTGGTGCTATGATGAGCGTGGATGAGACCTTGATGTGTTCTTTTCAAATATTAAAGCCTGCTGATAAGAAAAAGGCTGGAAACACTTCAACTGGAGCTGGTCTTTTTGGGAGCACAACTACAGCTAAGCCTGGAAACCCTCCACCAGGAGTCAAGGTAAATGCATTACTTAGAAAGACATGAAATGCTGTTTTCCTATTGGAGTTTTTAGATAGGCAACTAGAGTACTCGATGTTAATTGTATGATGATGTACCCTTTCAAGTTTGTAGTTCATCTATTTGTTCAAATATTTTGGTCAAGATATTCAAGAGGAGAAGTGATTAGTGTTATTCTTTTTTATGCTCTGGCAGAGCTTTCCATTTTTCATGGTTATCCTTTTGAAAGTGATTTGAGTGTATACCTTTACAGTTTTTATCTGGGACAACTTTACAACTTTCAGAAGGGGAAAAGCTTTGGTTTGTATTTTAAAGCAGTATCCCAGCCATTTTCCCATGTATCAGAAGGTTTAAAAGAAACCTAAGAAATTTTTCATCATTTACAATTTGAATACTAGTTTTTCTCCTCTACACTTTTGTGGATATCCTGATACTTGTAAATGTAATTCTTCTTTTCTTCAATAAGAATAAATGTACAGTTAATATTTGAACTCTCACCTGTACACCAGTTGATTCGAGATAAATGTGCCACCATTTAGAATTATCAGATGTTCTGGTGGAGCAACTGTAGAGTTGGAGTTGGAAAATGGTACTTAAGATGGCTTGTTTGTGGTATTGGTCAAGGAAAGAGGATTTGGGTAGTTTCAGGGAAATTTATTCTTTAGTCATGGATAAAAAAATTTCTGCCTTTCAAGAAAAAAATTAAAGCTTTCAAGTAGGAAAAAATGATTCAACTCATAAAGTTTGTTTTATTCTGTAAGAGAGTCCGAAGTGTTCGGATTATTCGGCTTGCATGTGTTGAGTATGCTATGCTGAAAGTTTGATGATATTAAACAGCATGTTAACTGCCTTACATTTATTTTATCTTTGTTGCATTTGACATGCGCGTGCATGTTACTGTATTTTACTTTTTACGTATAATTGCTGTCTTATCTGTTTTGCTTCTGGTTTGGCAGTCCTTCCTTGGCACTAGAGTATGACTATTGGATTTCCACTTAGAGATCAAGCTTAGTTGGATCATGAACATGCTGAGATTGCTGTGACAGGAATTCAAGGTCCATTTAATTTCATAATTATATGCTGAAATTGTATAAATTGGGGGGGGGGGGGGGGTTTGGGGGGGGATTTAGATGCAACAGATTGTTTTCCTTATATAAAGTTGGAAGGTAGAAGGCAGAGGTTTCCTTCTCTTCTTGGTTGTACACTTATAGCTGCTAGAATTGCTGCTATGAATTATTTCCATGTTGCTCTTATTGTTCCGCCCATCTGTGAGACTCCGAACCATGTTGAAAGTTCGAAACAATATACTCGTGATTCTGGGCAAGCATCATGAACTTGGTTTTAACTATTTTTATGTTTTATTCCCAAGACCACCATTGAATTTGAAGAAAGCTGCAAACACAAGGAAATGGACTGGTCTAATATTCCGTAAAGACTGAAGAGGTGCCCCCCTTTCTATGTTGTCATTGTGTGCATCGTCTTTTGTTGTGAGGTTCTGAAAAGGCCAGTTATTTTCTCATTGCCAAGTGAAGACTGCGAACTTTTTGCATGGAGGAATGATTCTAATCCCGTGGCTAGAATCATGGGTTAAAAGAAATCGTGGCTTGCCGATGATTTGGCACTATCTTGCATGGCATGCTTGTGCTGACTTGACCTGGTATATACTCCGTTCAAATCCCCTTCCCCATTGCGGTGTTACATTTAACTGAAGATGAGGATGCATGATGACTGGAAGTTTCATTACCAAATTTGCATGTTTGCTGTTCTCCGTGCTTGCTCTGGTTTCGATTATGCATATGTCGTTCCATGAAAGAAAGATTCCCCAGGATTTTGTTTTTCTCCGTGAGTAGAGATTTCCAGGACCTAATTATCCATACGTCTCTAGCCTCTCAGGTATGTGGTGACTGAAAACTGGAACCGCTTTTGAATTGGGCGTGGAGAAGCATTGGTATTATAGTAAGAACTAGTCCTATGGAAATTCTAGCTAGATTTGTCTGACCAAAATTCTCAGATCTCAATTGGGATGAAACCTGAGAGTGGAGAGAGGTTTCACTATCATTTGCAGGGAATCTTTCAACCTGAGTGTATTCCGCAAAAGAAGTCGGTATAATATTGAGCTTATCAGGTGATGGTAGATTTTCTATTAGGAGTCCCCAGGAAAATATGAGCAAGGGGTGGTATCATTATCATTGATGGAGAGGTTAATGCTTGATATTGCTGCGTTGGAGGAGAAGTACGAGTAGAAAACTATTGGTCAAGAGAAGTGATCTGCTCTGCATGGAAAATTTTATGAGCGAGGTATCACTGATATATTCAGAATAAATATCGAGGTGTCTTGTGTGATGGTTAAAAGGAAAGAGAAAGAAGACAGAGGAAGAGAGAAAAGGAGAGGGGGGTGTGAGAGAGGGGAAAGCGTGTGGGAGGGAGAATGTGTGAGAGGATGTGTGGGGAGCAAGCGGGGAAGAGAAGAGAGAAGCTTGGCTGTTTGGGCGGGGCTTAAATGGCCATGGCTTTTATTTTTTTTCACCATTAACATGTCTTTAAGCTAGTTATACTATTAATCGGTTTTTATTTTTTTTTCACTATTAGCATGTCTTTATGCTAGTTATACTATTAATCGGTGCTCTGCACTCTTGTTCTGGGCTCAGCCCTCTGAGTCTCTTTTGATTTATAACAAAAAAATCTTTTTAAAAAAAAATCGTAGCTCGGGATATTTCTTGCCGAGGGGGATTGAGGATGAAAGTGGTAAAAGCTATAAAGTCTGAAACTTTGCAGAGGCAAGTTCTCTAAAATTTGCAAGAGGACTTAAGCAGAGAACCTTTCAAGGACTGGAACCTGTTGTTGGTCGGGAGAGAAGGCTTTCTGGCTATGAAGCTGTGTGTAGTTGCCAGTTTCTCTAGTAGTGATGTAAAAAAAGGGTTCTCAAGGGAGTCTTGTTCTAGGGCTAAGCCGCAAGCAAACCAAGTGAGCCGTACACACTCATCCACGTCAGATTCAAGGTCTGCTAATCGGACATTTTTGTTTCATGGTTTTGGTTTTGGTTTGGGTCGGCTGGCTGCTTGTCCAACGGGCTTAGATTCTAAATTTGAAATTGGATTTTATAATCTGTTATATATTGAATTAATTCCTCCAAATTAATCTATTTTAATCCCCAAATATCTCTCCAATAATTCAAGCCCCCCATTTGATTACAAAGCCGGGCTGGGCGGTGCGAATATTGACTCTATAACTCATGCCAAATATCATATTGTTTTAGAAAATCATTGGTGCCTGTTCTCTTTCTTCACATAATTAATTTATGTTTTTTTATCATTTATAAATCAGTTGAATTTAAAAAGTTTTTTGGTACTCCATCAGTATTTAGTGGTATTTATTAATTACGCTTACCATGAAAAAAATAAAAATAAATAAGACTTAAGATCCATAAAAAATTATAAGAATATCTTTACTCAAAAAAATTTTAATTATATTTATTTTTTTAAAGTGAATCCAAATAATAATTAATAAGATATGCTAATTACTTATTTATCACCTTAAATTTGGCGCACAATTACTTAGATTATAAGTAAAGGATAATAATGGGATTATCATTGTTTTGGTTCACCATTTTCAAGTATTTATTTATGTTGCTAAAAAAGAAATAAAAAAATCATTTAAGGAGACATGTCGGTTTGAGTTCCTGTTTCATCAAATATAGACTAGTCCTCGGTAAGAAAAAAAAAAAAGTTACAAATATGATTCAAAGATTGGAAAGTAACCGACAAGTCACATGGAAAGGAACCCGGAGAAGGAGAAATTGAAGTGGAAGACAGCAAGCATAGTGTTAAAAAGTCAAAAAGACACGTGCCTTTTGTGTTTCAAATTCCAAACCTAACTGAATCACTTAACCGTACATCAAGGGGATGATCGTAAAGGATGGAAGGCTAAGCTACTTTATCACAGTACAGCACAGGACAGCAAGGTCTCGGTTACTTTTCTTGATATGCTACTCCACCTATCTCCTGCCTTCCTCGTAACTTGCAATTTTTTTTTCTCACGTTAAATACTGTTTAGAATTTCGATGCGACCGTGCTTTTTTAATTTTTAATTTTTCTATTGTATTATAAGTTAATATTAAAAATTAAAAAAATATTTTTAAATATTTTTTTATCGTGTCTGAGGCAACCAGAACGTGCAAGTATCGCAAGTGCAGTACATTTATAAATTGATTTTTTCCTTGATTTTATTTTTAAAATTGCATTTAGTTAAAATCTTAGAATAAAAGTAATAGCTAAAAAAAGATATAAAAATTTTTGTTTGGAAGAACATAGATAAATATATTTCGAAATTAGTTTTAAAATAATTTTTATCATTTTAAAATATAAAAAAAACACATGTTCCTTTTTTTTAATTATATATTTTCACATATCTTTGCACCGAGACAACGACCAAAAACTGAAGTAACGTTCTTTGTGTTGAAGCTTGGCTTGAATGACAGTCTTTGCTAGAACAGGGCTCGTGAACAATAATAGGTCAGAGAATTGCATGATAAGTGCAAATCATGCCAATATTGACTCCATATTAAAAAAATTAAAAAAAAAATTACAAGATGCTTAGTAGAGAAATCTATCTTGACTAATAGAGTACTTAAATACGACCATTAAAATGCTCCAGTCAGGTGGTTTACTTGTATTCTGTTTACATTTTCAGAGCATGCGTGGGTATTGTAGGTATTGTTGTGGTTGTTTTTTAAAATAATTTTTATTTAAAAATATATTAAAGTAAAATTTTATTAGTTTTAAAAATTATTTTTAATATCAATACATTAAAATAATTTAAAAATATTAAAAAATATATTAATTTAATTTAATTTTTTAAAAAATATTTTTTAAATACAAAAATAAACAGATTTCCCTGTAAACACAGTCTCGAATTATTATATATATTAACAAAAACCCTCTTAAACATTTTAAAAGAGAAAGGTTTCTTGTACCAAAGTATACATTACTCCAATTCTACACCTCCATTTGATTCTAGACTGACCCATTAAAATTTTGATTTTTTTTTAAAATATGTTTAGGCCCTATTAGTTTCAAGGAAAATTATTTTTTCAATATTTTTAATAAATCTTAAACACAATTAACTTTTACTACAAGAGAAGTATAATAGTCAAGGTTCATTTTTTTTTTTCCCGTTGCATGAGACGTAACAATATCCTTGCACTACAGCTCCTCCGACTTGCCCAGCTAAATTTCCAACTAGTTTCACTTTTTGTAAGGGTAACTTTTCAACATATTGTTCAGCAAACTAAATAGATTATTCTATTATAAGGTTACATTTAATTACCATTTTGGAATAAAAATGATAAATAAAAATGTAATTAATTAGAAAATACAAATGAATATGTTTTTGAGATAATTATTTATATTTTCAAAAAATAAAAACATGTTTTTATTTTATTTTAATTATTTTCATATATCTTTACAATGAAATAATAACAAAAACACTAAGCTGGTATAAAAACAAGTTGGTATAAAGATATTGTTATATATTTTTTATGCTCTGCTTGTTTGCTGAATTTTTTTTGAAGAGTGATTTTTATAAAAAGTAAATTCTTCAAAAATAAATTATTTTTTATATTTAATTGTATAATAAAAAATAAGTTAAAAAATTTCTACTATATGACTATATATATATATATATATATATAAAGAGGTTTTATAAAGTAACTTTGTTTGCGTGGAATGACAGTCTTTGATAAAACATCATTGTGGCAAAAAGGTGAGAGAATGGCATGATAAGTGCATATCATGCCATTATTGACTCCATGTTAAAAAAATTAAAAGATGCTTAGTAGAGTCTTGCCGTATTCGGAAATCTGTCTTGACTAACAGAGTACTTTAACACCGGTGATTAATGAAGTTTTTAAAGTATTTTTTATTCAAAAATATATTTTTTTATTTTTTTAATATTAACATAATTTAAAAACATAAAAAAATTAATTAACTTTTTTTTTTGAATTTTAGCCGATTTTCTTTTGGATTGCAGTCCCAAACGAGGGCTACCAATGAAATGCTCCAGTCAAGTATTTGAATTGGTGTCGGTCTGAATTAAAAAAAAAAAATCAGTTTAGTTATATTTTTTTAATTCAAGATCAAACCAAACAAAATATAATCAAGTTTAATATTATCTATTTTAACGACAAAATAGCAAATTGCCAGTTGGCAATCAAGGAGTTCATGAAAGCTGAAATGCTCAGACAAGAAATTAGTGTTGAAAGAGACAGGAAAAAACTGGCTAACTCCCCAACTTCTACTAGTTCGCACATGGCAAGTTGGTGTCTGATTAGTTGTCTTTAATTTCCCTTTTCGTAGTTTAGGTTCAGCACTGCGCCTCTTTTTGACTACGGAACTATATTTTTGAAAGTTCTTAAATATGTTTAGTTTTAAATTAATTTTTTCAGTGTTTTGATTTTTTTTTAATATATTGATATTAAAAATAAATTTTAAAATAATAAAAAAAATATTATTTGATGCATTTTTAAATACAAAAAGAAAATATTGAAAAACAATTTTTGTCATACTTTTAAAGAAGTTGATAACAAATAGGGGTAAGTAAAAAAATTAAAAATCTAATTAAATTGAGAAAAAAAAACCTAATCATGAAAAAACAATTAAAATTTTAAAAAAATGACTAATTCTGTTTAATTTTATAAGTTTAAAATTGAAAAAATCAAACCAAATCTAAATAAAAAAAGACAAGAAAAAACCAAGTCAGACTGGTTTGAACTGGTTTTTGTCCTGAAAACTAACAAAAGTAAAATTGATTAGTTTGAACTGGTTTTGATTAAGTTTTGATTTTTAAAAAAAATTCAATTTGATTATTTTTTTTTTATAAAAACCAAAATAAATCGAAAATGATCACCCTTAATAACAACCATGATATGTTTGTTTCTTGTATTTTTTTTAAATTAAAATTTTATTTTATTTTAAATTAATATTTTTAGTATTTTTATATTATTTTGATGAATTAATATTATAAAAAAATTAAAATAAAAAATATTATTTTAATAGGCTGTCCAGAAATTTGTTTAATGAATTCCAAGCAAAGTTTAAATTTCTCATTTCAGAATTTACAGCTATGTATTTGGCTTTTTATGAGAATCGAAAGGCTACACGTATGTCCTCTTAAAGTTCAGTTAATTTATGGAGGGTGAACTACGTTAGGCATCCTTCTATTATTAAATTAGATCCTTTTATTTTTAATATGATTAAAGGGATCTCTCTACTATATATTATCTTCATATTCAAATCTCAGGATACTAGTTAAGTTGACAGCATATTATATTATAAACGTGACACATGTCCAATAAGAAAAAAACAAAAAACAGTTAAAAGAAGAAGGCACTGAGATAATTTTTTTATTAATTTATGCTGAATTTTTTATTGTTTTTATTTTTTAGCTAATTATTTATTTACTTATCATAAAAAGTGATTTTTTTATTTTTTTCACTTTATTTTGATTTTTTTTCGTTTCATCAATGAAGGATTAGAATATTGATTTATTGATGAAACATACTTGATTTACTTTGTGTATTTTTTTCGCAAGCATGGTTTTTTTTTTCATGAAAGTTTTGGTTTTATGTGTTCAAGATTTTATAATTTGTAAATAAGATTTAATTTTCTGTTTTGTTCTTTGGAATTTGAAAAAAAAAAAAACTCGACAAAAAAAAATACTAAGAATAAAAAAATCCAGCATAAAATCAAAATTTATTATTTAACATTGAATATACTAGTTATAAAATTTCATAATTTATTTCAATTTATTTTCTATTAAGTTATCTTAATCTCATGACTTATATCACGAGTTTTGTTAATTAGCTTTGCTAATTTAAGTTATTTTTTTTTTATTTTTTTTATTTTATCATTAAATATTTGGTTGATTGAAAATTAAATTTCACGTGTTTATATTAATTTGTTTTCTATAAGTTTATATCAATCTCATGACCAATATTTGACATGTTTATCTAAATTAATTTAATTCAGTTTTTGAGTTAAATTTTGTTTTCAATCTCATCATTCAACATTGTGTTAATCGAGAATTAAGTTTAATATTTATTTTTATTCACTTTCTATATGATTATCAGGGTCTCATGATATATATAGTGGATTTGACAGGATAATCCGAATTCATCTGATTAAATTAAATATATTGTTATTTTAATATTTTTTTAAAAAAATATCATCTTAATTTTTTAATTAAAATTATATTTTTATTTTTCTTTAACATCATATCAATTCTCACGTATTTTTATTAACAACATGTAACTACTTACTTATATTAAAAAATTAATCCAATCCCAAAGAAGCACCGGACCTAATTAACCCGACCATTTGATTACGTGAAGAAGCCAAATCTCTAGAAGTGTAGATAACTTATCATTTTAGACGCTACATATCCATTACCATACCTAACAAAAGACCAATGATGTTGAGTGATTGCTTTACACACAAGGAAAAAATAAAAAGAAGAAGAAGAGAAAAAGGTTAAAAGGACACCTCGTTCCCCTCTCCGTCCTGTACTTGTTTTGCCCTATGCGAACTCTAAAGACTCCCAAAACTAAGAACTATGATAAGCTATCAAAGACGCTTTCACACTTGATCCCTGTCCACCTTAACCTTCCTGCTTCTTGCTCATCACCCTTCCCGGTGCTAAAAAATCTATCTCTGTTTATATTTTTACTTTTATTTTCTGGATTATTTTGGATATTTGCAGCTTCGGCAGGCCCTAAAATATTATATTCAGTTTTAGGGTCCATCAATGCAATATTTAACTGTTTTATGGGGATGCATAATTTTGACCTCGGTCTAGCTAGATAACTACTGAATTAATCCAACTAATATAAATTGCGGCAACTACAGTGTTTCATGAAAAAATTTAAAATTATTTTGATATAATAATATTATCTTTCATGAAAAAAATTTAAATTACTTTGATATAATAATATTAAAAATATTTTTTAATATTTTTATAAGCAAAATATATCTTGAAAGGCAATTACTATTAATTTTTTTGATGTTGATAATATCTAGTTTTTTTCCCGTGCACTCATCTGTTATCGCTCATAATTAAGGACTTGTTATCAAGCAATTAATGTAACTTGGGGAGGATTACTTGCAGTTTTCTGATCTTGAGCACTGCTTGGTTAGCCAAGGAATGGGATCCAATTTCAAATGAAAAAAATCACATCTTGATTTTAACTAAGACTAAATCTCCTCTTTATTTCAAAAATATATTTGCAACACAATAGAGTACTTTTTTTATTTGACTTAAAATAGGATTATCTTGTTTCTTGTTCAATTATAAGGAGATTTTAATTCTGCTCTCTATTATGAGCGAACCAAACATGCCCTTGTAGAGAAAACTATACATTATCTAGATGGTGCCAAGATTAATGAAGTATATTCAATTATCGGGGGGGCAGAAGCCATTGTCAATTTTCAATGCTCAAGCGCAGGTGGATCTGGTACGTGTCTTATTCTCTCAATTACTAGGCTTTTACTGCATAAAATATGCTTTGTACTATAAGCTTTGACAATTGCACAACCTGAATCCCATCCTTCGAGCCAGGAAATGGGAAAGAGGAAGAAATCTTTGACCTCACAATGTGAAGAACACCAAGCCGGTTAGCATGAACTTGAGAGCCAAGACAGATTTTTTTTTTTTTAATTGTGATGTTCAAAGCAATTTATGGGTTTCTTGACTAATCACTTGTGATTGTAAAGTTAAAAACCAAGTAAATATTCAATAAAATTTATGACACGCCTCTACCATAGCATATCCTTGACATATGCCTCCATCAAAATCAACACAAAAGATGAACACTCAGATTCCGAAACATTTAACACGTTACAAGAACACGATTCATTCACAACAAAACTGAATATAAAGGTAAGCAGGCATATCATATTAAAGCAGTAATAGTACAAACTTCCTTTAGCTTTCTCACTTCCTTGAATTCTCAAAAAAGGCAAAGGAGGGGAAAGACGGGATTCTCAACCTTTTTCTTAACTATCTACAGCCTCTCTCTTCATAACATAAACAAAGGCAACAAACAAAAAAACAAGGCCACAGTCCTTTGCATCAGAAAAAACTGAAATTCTGAAGTCTTCACCATAGGGTTTTGTGCTGCACAAGGCGAAGTTAGCATCTTGTAGGCTTGCTAGGCAGTTGCATGTACACACTCGCTGCACAGTGATAAACTATTAGCAATCCTTGCTTTGAGAGGTATTTTATTGGATTTTACAGGGCAGATTAGTCCATTGAGACTGCCTCTCCTCCACTCAAGATCCATGGGTGCCCTGCATTTCAAACAGAACACAACAAAGTGAGACTAATGATTCACATACATCAAAATAGCGATTCAAACTCAAGAAAAGGCTAAATTTTTTGTTTGATTCATGAGAAAATTGTTAAAAACAAAACTCTTCTCAGCATTTTAGCTGATTAATTCTGTGATCAAAAGAAAACAAATCTCAATTTATCAAAAGCATCAGAGAAAGAGTAATGATTCACAGACATAAAAACAGAGGATTCTGTTAAAAAAAAAAGGTCTTAAACCCTGTTTATAAACAGGAAAACTGATGCAAGAATATAAAAACTATTTCAGTATTTTAACTCATAAACTCATTAATCAAAGGAAATCCCACTTTAAATCCACAAAAAGATTACCCTAATTCAAAAACAATAAAAATTAAGAGCTTACATAGAGCTTGCTCAGCTGAAAATCTCCTAGAAACGTCTCTACAAACCATCTTCCTCAACAGATCCTTAGCTTCCGGGGAAACATTTCTAAAAACCTTAGGAGGAAACCTCAAATTCCCTCTAACAACAGCCTGAAAAATCTCCTCAACAGTCTCCCCATAAAACGGCGGGAATCCAGCTAACAAAACATACAAAACGACACCAGCACTCCACACATCAACTTTCTCATTATAATCTCTCCCCATCACTACCTCCGGCGCCACATAATACGGGGTACCCACCACCCCACTCAACGTCCCCTCCTCCCCAACCCAATCAGCGGACCCAAAATCCGCCAACTTGACCCGGTTCATCTCATCAAACAATATGTTATCCGGCTTAATATCTCTGTGCACAATACCAAATCTATGGCAATGCGCTATTGCAGTCAATAACTGTTTCATCATCGACGCACACCTGCCTTCGCTTAACCCGTCATCACTACTCTTCATTAAACGATCATAAAGAGTAGATTGCTGGCAGAGCTCTAATACCATGTCAAGAGAATCTTCAGTATCGTAGACATCGAAGAGTTGGACAATGTTTGGATGGGGAGACAAGAGGGACATAATCTTTGCTTCGTTTTGAAGACACTCACGGTCAGTTGGATCATTAAGGAGATTCTTGTCGACAGATTTGCAGGCAAAGAATTCGTTCTTGATGGGTGAAAAACAACGAGAGATCGTGCCAAATCTTCCTCGGCCGATCTCTTCACAGAATTGATAATTGCTCTTTAAGGTATCATCACACATTTTCCTCAAGGAATGAAGGATGTTCCGTGAGATGGTTTTACTCTTAATTGTGGCTGCGCACACCCCTGTCATGTTCTTTTATAGGGAAGAAAGAATAGTTTGGGGAATATTCGGTTGAGTAGTTTCGCACCTTTCGCTGCTACTTAAGATTCACCACGCTTTTTAAGCTTCGATATTACTTTTTAAAAATTTGTTTGTTTGTAGAACATACACACACACACACACACACACTTAAATTTTTTTATGTAACATTAAATTTAAATATTTGAACACTTACCAAAAAAAAAGATAAAAAATTATATTGTATAAAAAAGAACTTACCAAAAAAAGAGATAAAAAATTATATTGTATAAAAAAGAATTTATTATATCATATATTTATATAAAATTTATTTTATAAAATGTAATTATACATAGAACATGAATGTTTTAGATACAATATTATAGAGGCTTAACTATTTTTATGAGTTTGAAGAATTTTAAAAAGTAAATTTATATGGTATCCTAATTTTATAATATAGTTCATATGACTTAAAATATATAGTTACTGTATAATATAACATGTTTTTTTTTAATATAACTTTTAGCAATACTATCTAAATTAAAATATTATATGCACTAACATATCAAATTAGTATATTTTTATATTGGATGTTAATATATCATAATATATTATTTTCTATATAAATATATTATTTTATAATAATATTATATTTAAAGTATTATATATAAAATGAAATATTATATCACTTTAATTTTTAGATCATTCTTGGAAAATATTTTCTAATATTTTAAAATGAAAAAAAAATTTCTTATTTAGAGCTTTTTTCTTTTTAAAAAGTGAATTTTATTAACCAATTTTGTATAATATAGCAAAACATGAGAAAGTTAAGAAAATTCTTCCTAGAAAAACACTTTCAACAAACAAAGAATGTATTAATCTAAATTTTCTATAAAAAAACATAATATTAGGATTTTATTAGTCGATATTTATTTAATTAAAAATAAAATATCTTTAATTAATACTTACATTTTATATAATATTTTGATTTTATGAATGAATATTTACAAAAGATATGATAAATCGAAACAAATTCTATACAAAACTATAAAATCATGTAAGGTTTTTCAAAAGTATGCTTATTGACTTCTCATAATTTAGACCCCTTAGTAAGACTTTAACTTGTAAGAAAATAAAATTAAGACTTTTTTTAATGATATACACAGTAATTAACATAGAAAATAACACAAAAGCTTCATGTCAATGCCCGAAAAAACAAAATGGTGGTTCAGTGCCATTTTTAGTCCTTGAGGTATTTTAATTTTTACATATCAAACTCAGTGGTTCCAATAAACATAATTGGGTTTTTAAACTTTTGATTTGAAGGAAAAATTGGTCTAAACATAATTGGGTTTGTAAACTTTTGATTTGAAGGAAAAATTGGTCTCAAATATAAAATCTGAATTAAAATTGATCCCATCACTTTGAACACATGGCATATTTCTATTACCCACAAAATTAAATGAAGCTGGTCCAAAATTTATCTAATACACACATATTTTTAATTATTTATAATAATACTTTTATTTTATTTACAATACTTTTCATTCTTTTTAGTTATTTTACGAGGTAAGAAGAAAAACTAGCATAAAAATGCCATTATTAAAGACTTTTATTTTTTATCAAAATATTTTTTTTCTTCATTTTTTAGTTTGCTTTTTTCACTCATCCACTAAGTAAAAATATTTGCGGTTTTCACAGTGAATTCAAGGACTTGGTCACCAGTCTATCCATTAAGGCTGATATTTTTTTTCTATATCGGTCTTCAAAATTACCTCCTTACGAATTTCTTTATAAAATTTCCTTTCAATCCTTTCGGCAACTCTACCACTGCCCCACTGCTGATCTCCCTCAGCCTTTGGTGCACATCTTCAATCTTCTGGTTATTTTAATAATGACTTTAATTATCAATATAACAGGGGTTGTTTTTATGGTAATAATTATTATTAAAAAATTATTTTAATTTAAAAATTTAATTTATTAGATAAAATTTTAAAATATAATTTATATTAATTTTTAATATATTTCTTTAAGTAAAACTTTTTAAACTTAGAATTTATACATGCTCACGTTCCTTTATATTTAATTTTTTTAATTAAATAAATAAAAATAATGAAATTCAAAGTCGTTTCCACTTAATCATTAAAGTTTTGATTGGTGTCAAAGAATTATTTCAATTTAAAAATTTATTTCCACTTATTCATTTAAGTTTTGATTCATATCAAAGAATTATTTCAATTTAAAAATTTAAATTTTTAAATATAATTTATATTATTTTTTTAAAATTTTCTATAACAACGTTGATAACAAAAACAAGTGGCATCAAGAGAATCAGAGACAGGCCAATCTTCTCTCTTCCTTACAACAACAGTGCTCTAATGCATGGTCTTTGAGGTGCCAGCTTTGCTGTGCTTTTGGTCACTCGGTGCAGCAGTGTTCTCAACTCCACATTCATAGGCAGGAGACCAATGCAAACCTGGCTCTTCGTAATGTCTCAACGGCTAGTTCCATTGATTGGTTTCAAACACAGGTGCAAATAAACATTTATGTTATATGAACCAATATCATTATAATTTTATTAAAGTTTATGACATATAACTTGTTTCATTCTGTAAAGGACATGTTTAAATTAACATTTAACTCCACATCTATTTATGTCATGATAAGTGATATTATTATTTATTTCACGAGCAATAAAATCAACACAATAACATAAGATAAAGATATTATAAACTGCAGGGAAAAAAGTAAAAGTAAACCCGGTCAATTGAACATAATTTAAATAAAATTGTATGAAATCAACCCTAATTACATGAATTCATAACTAATTTTAATAATTTTTCTATAAAATTCTTAAATTTGATAACTTATTCAAATATTCAAGGCAATGCAAATTTAATTAAAATCCAACTTAATTCCTGTGATTTTCATTATCAACTGTACGAAATGAATCTTAATTGACTTAATTCACAACTAATTTATCAAAAAATCAACAAGCTTTAATTTCAAACTAAACTTAAACAATAATTTAATCATAACTATATTAATCACAATTAAAATATAAAACCCCTAAAATTATCAGTAATGTAGGATGTTTGCCTTGTTTTTTTGTCTGGAAATGGTGACGATAAGGTGGTGGTGACAGTGGTGATTTTTGACAAGAAAAACATGCTTGGGGGCTTGGAGATTAAGGGGATGCGGTTTCTAGTTATTTTATGGAGAAAACCAATTGTTTTAGGCAGGCCTTTTAGAGAGAGAAGGGGGGCTGGCCATTGGTTTTTGAGAGGGAGTGAGAGGTCTTTTTTTACTGGGAGTAGAAGTAAGGAACTACGTTTCTAGTTATTTTAGAATTGTAATATATTAAAACTATGTTATTTTGCTCATTTTTTTAAAAAAATTTTATATTTAAATAAAAATTTTAACCCATAATGCTAATTTTTTTAAAAAAACACAGAAATAACATTTTAACCACCGAGCCTGGCTGGAGCCCACACACGTCATAACTTACATAATTAGAACAAAATTGCACCATTTCTACTTTAATATTTAGAAGTTTTTTTATTTTATTTTTTTAGTGCATCATGAATTATAATCTGCAAATGAAACTTCTTCTTCGCATCGATCATGCCTCGAGTTTAGTTAGGATCCACGACCACGCCTTCCTGTCGTTAATTAGCACAGCATGCGCATGCCTCTTATTAGTAGAATTCCCATTCATCACGCTTCTTTATTTATATATGAAACGACGACATCCTTGACGTGATGGAGTCTCTTTTGTGTCGATTTATATACGTATATTTTTGTTTTTTTAAATATTTTCATATTTTTTAAGATATTAATTTTAAAAATAAATTTAAAAAAATTATTTGGATGCATTTTAAAATAAAAAAACATTTTAAAAAGTAACAATTATTACAATGCTAAATAAGCTTTTAATAGTTGATATCAAGCCACCCAGAGGCTTTTAAAACTCTCAAAACAGTAAATATTTATTTTGAATTTTTCTAGTCGACTTAATAGATCTTGACCTATACAATTAAATAATTCTGGTTCATTTTTAAATCTCACCCTACCTATGCTAAATATTTATATCTTGTTTGAAAGTATAGTAAAAATTATTTTTAAAGTGTATTTTTTAAAATATATTAAAATAACATTTTTTTTTATAATTATTCATTGATAATCTACAACTATATATATATAAAAGTAAGAATTTTGTGCTGAAACATTTGATTTAGCTAAATTATACTTAAAATTTCATTAACTTTATAACTAAAATAGGAATTGTATTACATATTTTTATTATAAAGTTAGTTATTAGTAGCTGTGTTAACTTTTCTTTTTCGTGAAATACTTACAAACAAGTCAATTAAATTAAATAATTAAAATAATAAAGTTTCATCACGTTAAATTTATCAAATCAGATTCGTAGTTTTTATTATTGGATTGATTCGTCGTTGTCTTCCGTTATCTTTAACTTGTTTTTACAAACAAATATTCTTAAAATTTTGTTATCTTTTGAACTACCAATATGAAGAGAAAAAAGGAATAATATCTATTTTTTTCAGAGTCTTTTAAAGAGTTTTCAACTATATTATTAAACATAAGTAATCAAAACTTAAAAATTAAATTATGATTTATCATATTTTTGCTTTATTTAATATTCAAAAATAAAAAAATTCATAAAATTTTTGTTTATGCATTTTTTTATTCATTCCAATTGTAATTAGTATCCAAAAACAATAAAATTACATAATGAGTTAGAAAGCTAATAAATTAAAAAAATAAAGCTAATAAATTAAAAAAATAAAATTTACAAGGGTTCTTAGTCATAGTCTGGTGTTATCATTGACTTCTTTATGTAAAAAAATTATAATTTTTTTTATTTAAAACAATTGTTTATATGCATTGCAAGAAAGAATACAGTTTTCTTCTCTCTTTCATTAAAAAAATATAAAACTTTCTGATAAAAGCATGATATAAAGAATATTGTTTTGAATTTGAAATATGATAAAATTATATGAAATTTTTAATTTT